TGTATGAACTTAGATTTCCTCAAGATTCACTGCCTGATGGATTGTATTTACAGTTCCAAGTTTATGATTCACTTTTTCCATAGTATGATTGACAACTTTGGACATACTGTATTAAGTTCAAAATAATTATTTTATTTTGCTGTGAAAGCAAAATATCTGGCAATTTGGCAGACCTTGTCTCACATAGTTTTATAGAAGGTTCCAAAATTATTTTGCCCATAAAATGGAAGCACTGGGAAAAATGCTCTGGCCAACGATGCCACCAGTAAACGGAGCTCATCCTGGTCAGGAAGTGGAGGCATCTCATACTGTACACTCAAGGAATCTAATCTAGATTCTTAAAGGAGCATGATATAAGGTCCTTCACCTTTCTAGGGAATCTGTTGGGGAACCACAGGGTCAGTAACATTATGTCAGAACCCATCAATTTAAACAATGGCCCATTTAGGGGCAAGAGTAGTCGAAATGACTAGATGGGCGGGATAGAAATGTAATAATTAAATACAAAGAACATATTTTAATTTTGGGGGAAGATATAATTTAATCTGAGTTTAGGGACTTGTGCACAATCTATACATATACTATTGAAGAAAGTCTTCCATCTTCAGAATTTCACCTTTCACTTACTGCAGTGCAAGAGTTTTGTCTAGGGCATTCTGTCCTTTTGTTTCTCCAAAAGTCCTTCAGTGGTTTTCTTCCAGTACCTTTCTATCTTCTATCTTCACTTAGAGAATCCCATATGGTGGCAGGCAAGAATGGGCACTCTCTCTCTCTCTTACACACACACCTTCTGTGCAAAGCTCAACCCCGTATGTCCTTCAAACACTCCTGAAGCAGTGATAATGTAATGTGCCCATCAAATTGACTTACACCCACAGAGGACAGCATCCTCACAATGCAAAATATTTAAGGGGATACTTGTCATTAATGCAATCTAGACCTTTTTTTCCAAACAGCTGCTGGGAGCTGGTAGGTTTTCACCCCATCCAAAAACACAAGGTGTTGAAGGGATATTTGCTGTACGTGTTAGTTTTGAGAGGACAGAATACAAAGCTGACTAGCTTTCTGCCCTTACTAATCTGGGAAGAGCAAACAAGTATCCTACTTGTTACATACAGCACTGATGTTACCTGTCTGTCATGGGTTTGGAGGGAAAGTTCCATCCTATGGGGAGTGGAAGGCGGGACATCAGGAGGAGGGGCTGTACTGTATATATATGTGATGCGTGTGTGGAGAAGTTTAGACGCTGGGATGTGACGAAGCAGCAGCTGGGAAGAAGAAGCTGGTGTGGGAGTCTGTGTGTCAGACAGGGTACTACTGTGTGTCAGAGTACCAACCTGATAGGTTCAGGTGTCTGTTGGTTAGCCAGAACTGATAGGTTCAGGGTCTGTGCTTTAAGTTAAGTGTTCTGTGTGAACCAAACTGTATGCATGTATGAATAAGACTAAGCCACGTTACTATATCTTATTCACCTGATCATTTTATTTTGCCTGTGTGTTGTTTTAAATAAACCTTATTCTTTTATTTGTTGAAAATCCATCCCTGGTCTGTGTGACTTCTTATGGGGAATGGTTGGTGGCAGCTTAGTTAACGTGTGGCAGATCCCAGTAGGTCTGGGTTTGTCACACTACTCAGGATAGCAGGATTCATGGTCAACTCCCATGGAAAAGACTAGACTAGAAGCTAACACAGAACTGCCTTCTATAGTAATTAGGATGAGTATCCCAAGGAGAACATGTTTGTATGGCAGTGAGCCAAGGCAGATGCTTTTCTTCTTTTTATCAGAAATAGAGACCAGAATAGGCAAACATGGCAAGGTCTCAGGGGTGGCTGTCCACATTTTTTCTCTTGCCTACAGCATCCAATGGGAACCATCTATGAAGCTGCAAAAATCCAAACTAGAAGTCCTCATATTTAATCAGGGCTGCGCGTTTATGTTCCATTATTAGTAGCAATCTGGAAGTTTGCTCAGATAATAGCAGTGACTCTTCCCCCCACCCCAATCTTGAATGCATTTGTGCTCTGCATGGAACTGTTGCAGTTGTAGCACTACAATCTACAATTTACAGACTTTTGGTCCCACTTTTACCATTCATGCATAATGACCCATGCATCTGACAAGTTTATACTGTAACAAAGCTATGAGTATTTAATTTGCTCCCAGTGCATCTGTTGGCCTCCCTAAACAAACATAATAAGCATAGACTTGTGGTCTGAATGAACTTTAAAATTAACTAAAGTTGAGTAGATATTCAAGCAGCCAGCATACACTCTTTCTTAAAATATTTTTCTATCAGGAACAGTTACATTGTGGTGCTTGCAAAAAACCTATTGCCAGCTCATGAAATTTACACTACAATTCAGAGAGCCAAGCTCTGTTTGTGACTGAAGAATATGCTGAGACAGAAGAATAAAACTTTCTTGATATAAATACGATTTATAATACAACTGTATACAGTGGAACTTCTACTTATGAACTTAATCCATCCCAGAAGATGTTTGTTAGTTGAAATGTTTGCAAGCAGAAGCAAAATTTCCCATAGGAATGCATTGAAAACCATTTAATCCATTCTGGATTTTTTTGGTTCTTATCTAGAGGAGCCGTTCTTAAGTTGAAGCATTAGTTCCCATAGGAATTAATGCCAAGCCGGTCAATCCGTCCTCTACCACCAGGGGGAGAATTTTTCTTCTTTTGACCTTAGGTCAGAAAAAGGGCAGGAAAGGAGGGAGGGGAGAGGGAAAACCTTCTAAACAGAACACCTTTAAAAACAAGCAGTTTTTAAACAAAACCAAGCACCTTTTAGCTTCAAAAAGGGCAGGAAGGGAGGGAGGGGGGAGGGAGGGAAGGAACAATGGGGAAAAGAAGAAAGTCATCTCTGGGGCACACAGATCCCTCAGACAAAGGTTTGTGCTTTTAGGCACAAAAAGAAAGAGAGAGAAGACAAGGGGGGGAGCCTTAAGTCTACAGTAGACACCATTTTAAAACATGCCAGCCTGCATCAACAAGCACCACAGATTTCTGATTTAGAAGAGACAGACCTTGGAGCCACATTTTAAACACACATTTTAAAACAAAAGACAGGTCACAGTACACAAACCCTAGAAGCCACAGAATTCAGCAAGCGTTATTCCAGCACAGAACTCATTACAAAAAGAGAGTCTAAACTGCATGTTACAGCCTGCCTGCATCAACAACCAGCAACCATTATTACAGCAAACTGATCCCCCTCACACATTTTAAAATAACAGAGAGGTCACAGTACACAAACCCTAGAAGCCACAGAATGCAAAAATAAATACATTTTACATTTTAAAATTAGTCTAATTTTCACATTTAATTTAATATTACAGTCTACTTTTCACATTTTAAATCCATACTGCAAGACCCATCAGGGCACAGAAACATAACCCCCACCTAACCTTACCCCCCAGCTGCAAAAAATCATGGATAGTACAGTAAATACTCACCCAGAACAGGCAGTCTGTTTTTTTTAAAAAAAGGTACAAAAATACAGTGCATACAGTACAGTACCAGGCAGTTTGAAGACTCTCTCCCTATCCACTCTCTAACCACTGGGATGAGCGAGGTAGCAGGCAACCAGCCTCTTCGCTGGCCAACGGTCAACTGAAAGTTCAAATTTCACGTTTTCCCCACCTCCCCTGCGTTTTTTCCGTTCGTATGTTGAAGCTCCATTCGCAAGTAGAAGCAAAATTTTGCAAACAGAGCTGTTAGTAAGTTGGATTGTTCATAGGTAGGGACATTCATAAGTAGATGTTCCACTGTTCATGTTTCTGATTAAGGGTGTGATCAGGCAATTGGAAAGGTGCATGCCTGATTGCAACAGAAAGGGTTGCTTTAATAGAGGCAATTTTCTATAAAGTGAGCCTTCTGTCAAGGAATCTCCAGCCCAATCCCAAAATCTTGTAGCCCTGCAATTAGAGCAAAAAGGTTGTTTGAGCTGGATCAGAGTCAGGCTGGCATGCATTTCCTCATATGTTGTGTGGTGGGAAATAGATTGCAACAAACCACTCAACAAGAAGTCCAAATTGTGATGTACATGTGTGATTACACCCCATGTTAAACAGATCTTAGTCACAACTATGTGTTCAGTCGTGCAGCCTTGTGATTAGATTCATTATGATCTAAGAGCAGTTCCCCCATTTGGGCAGTAAAAATAGACGGAGACTCCTTTGTAACATTAACAGATTTATTAATGTGAACATTAGGAAAACCAATAACTATCTCCACTGGATCTAATAAACTGAAGTCTTTTAACTGTTCATAACTTGTCAACAATGGTCCACTTTCTCTTATACCTTGATCCATGAGGGAGCAGGTCCAAACCTCTCTTGATAAGTCAGTTTGCATAGTGGAGTGCTCCTCATGGCACAAATGGTTCCACAACATGGGTGCCTCGCCCAGTTGCCCTCCGGAGGGGGTTTGTTGAAAAAGGAGTCTGGCCAGACCACCTTCCTCCAGCAACCATGTTCCCTTGAATACATCACCACTGACCATTCCAAGGGGTACAGTGAAATGACCGGGTCAGGATTAGGAAGCAGACCTGCTGTTTTCAGGTTGGGGAAGTCCTCTAGCAGTCTTCTAATTCTTTCATAACTTTTCTCATTTTCCCTGTATCCGCTCTCATTCCTTCCTATTCCTTCTCTCTCTGCCTTAATTCTGAGTTCCCTCCTCCTCTCCCTATCTTCTATATCCTTCTCCCAGACAGGCAACAGTAACTCCTCCTCCTTTTTGTCTTCCATCTCTTCTACCAAGCAAATCTCTATCTTCCCTTTATCTTCTTTCACCTCTCCTTTCACTACCTCCTCTCCACTTTCCCTTTCTTTTGATTGTTCTTTCCCTTCATTCCCTTCCACGCCCGTAGATTTCATAGGTAAAGGGAACGGCACACTCTCCGGTTTCTCCTCCTTTTCCATCTCTCTCTCACAATCCTATATTAATAAAAGTGAAGATCAAGTTACTTTCCAAAAAGAGCCAAAAATTCAGGAAATGAAAAATAGATTTATTATCTATAACAGTTAAATATACAGCAATGCCATCTTACGAAAGCTTCTGAGTACCGAAGCAGTTACTTCAAATTCCAAATTAGACTAGATATACAAACTTAAATACCAAAATTTAAACTTAATAATTAAAGTGCTCCCGAGGCATGTGTGGGGTGGTGGGACCTTTAGAGTAATTTCTTTTTTTTGACTTGGGTTCCTTCTTTGGACATCAGCGCACTTTGTTTTGGACTACAGTTTCCATAATTCCTTACCACTGGCTATGCAGGTTGGTCCTGATGGGAGTGAAATGGCATCTAGAGTGCCAAAGCTTCCTTATTATGTTACAGAATGAAGAAGAGTCTTCTCTAACCTACAGGCATCAAATTTCACATGAACACTGACAAAACAATCTGTGTAACTAACTGTAATAGAAAACAAGTAGCTACACAGATGAAAAAGAGAAAGAACTGAGTATTGTGCTGATTCTCCTCTGAAGGCCAGTATTGTGTTCTAAAATGCAATGAATTATGTACAAGGTATTGGATATATCACAGGCTGTGTGGAAACAGTTATACTTTCAAGTGTTGTGTTACTACTGTTTCTGCTTTGATTGTTTTGTGGTACAAAAGTGACAATTCACTTGGCAGTTTAACAGCCTTAATTGTCTTGGATACAATTTGTATTCTACAGAACACTAAACTTTCCATTGACTTTAATTACTGGCCAGAATCCTATTGCCTTATATAATCAGGTAAAGCAAAACTGTGCCATCCATTATGCCTGCCATCTTGATGGACAGTAAACCAGAGGGGAACGTTGCTTGTGTTATTGTCTTTATGCATATGGTTTTCCTCAACAGGATTAAAGCCACTGTGTTTTGCATCTTCTGCTCATGGAAGCAGGGCATCTTCTCTCCTGTAGCCACGCCCCCCCCAATCCTAGATACTTCGCTTTGGAGACCCTTTGGGAATTCTTCGGAGCTGGTTGTGGTGTTAGAAGGGACGGCAAAATATTGCAATATTATGAACAGCTTCATGATATATTTAAGGCTGCACATTGTATTTTTTCTACTAATTCTAAGCATATTGATTTTATTGATAGTTCTTCCAGGCATAGTTATGATTGTCAGTCAGGATTCTTAAAAAAGCTGAAACAGTGAGTTTTAACAATATTCTAGCAGTACATAATGTCATATACTCCAACACAGCTTTAGCCTTCAAGGGAATTTACAATTTCAGATATCTTATCTTCACCAAAGCGGTCCTTCAGGAGAAGATCAATAAGCTGTTCAAGTTTCGCAACCTACAGGATGACAGAAAATCACATTTGATATAGTGCAGCAGTCTTCTACTTAGTTTACTACATAGAAGTGATCTAATTCATATTATATTCATTGTTCTGTGCCTGTTTATACAGTGTAGCTACACAAATTATATGCCATGTGTCACTAGAGACCAAGACCCAGATCACCCCCACTCTTGTATTTCTGATCACCATGTATGGTATGAAAGCTGGACAATAAAGAAAACTGACAGGAAAAAGAGAGGTTACTTACCTGTAACTCTAGTTCTTCGAGTGGACCTCTGTGAATTCACACAACAGGGTTTAGTCTGCGCTTGCGTCGGATTCCTCGGAATATTCTAGAGCTTAAAAAAGTAACATTGAATGAGACTTGCCCCTATAGCGCATGCTCTGCCTGCCTCAGCTCTCAGTTCCATTTTATCCGCCACTAGGAAGCTCTGGATAACAGAGGCCAATTAAAGAGTGACGGATAGAGGGGAGGCTGGGCGGGAAGTGTGAATTCACAGAGGTCCACTTGAAGTACTAGAGTTATAGGTAAGTAACCTCTCTTTTTTCTTCATGGCCTCTGTGAATGCACACAACAGGGTGACTAGTAAGCTGACTTACCAGAAGGAGGGCCATCACGACATCAAGGAGGTTAAAACTGCCCTGCCAAAGCTGGCCTCTTTCTTGGCTCTGAGGTCCAGCCTGTAATGTCTTATAAAGGTGGACACAGTAGACCAGGTAGCAGCCCTGCAGATGTCTGATATATCCATCCCTCGAAGGAAGGCAGTGGATGTGGCAACTGCCTTAGTGGAATGACCTTTGAGGCCATCAGAAGGGGTTCTGCCCACCAGTTCGTAGGCTAGGGTTATTGTAGAAACCAGCCATCTTGATAGTGATTGAGAAGAGGCAGCTGAACCTTTGTGCTGACCTTGGAAACAGACAAACAACTTAGGTGAGACGTGAAAGTCTTTGGTCCTGGATGTATAATAAGCCAAGGCGCGCCGTGTATCCAGGTAATGGAGCATCCGCTCTGCTGAAGAAGAAGGGTTAGGGAAGTGCGTCGGTAATAACAGGGGTTGATTAACATGGAAACTGGAGATCACCTTGGGTAAGAATGAAACATCCGGATAGAGAAGAACCTTGTCAAGTTAGAACTGAAGATAAGGGGGATCCGCTCTAAGGGCGGCTAATTCACTGGCTCACTTAGCCGAGGTGATGGCAATGAGAAAGAAGGTCTTAAATGATAGGAGACGGAGATTGGTGGAAGCAAGAGGTTCAAATGGTGGGCGGGTTAGGGCGTGCAGAACAAGATGCAATGACCATTGCGGCAACGGAGGCTTGACCGGTGGCCGGATATTGTGGAGGCCCTTCAAAAATACTTCTAGTGCTGGGTGGGAGAATAATCGAGCAGAATCAGAGTCTCTTGGTTGATGGGACACGATGGCTGATACATATATATTTATCGTAGATATGGCAAGGCCCAAGTCAAAGAGATGTCGCAAATATAAGAGGAGGGTGTCAAGTGATATAGGCCGTGATTGTAATCCCTTAGCCATGGCGAATTTAGTGAAATTAGCCCACTTGTATGAATACAAGAGCATAGTGGATGGTTTTCTAGCCTTCTGCAAGACCTCCTGGATCATGGGAAAATCCGCCAGGCGGTCAAGTGAAGGGACTGGGTGACAGATGTTGCCCACGTCCTGTGGGAGAAGATGTGGGAGGGGAGGAAACTTGAAGTACTCCACTGACATCATTCTTAAAGCAGTGAACCAAGGCTGGCAGGGCCACCAAGGGGCTATGAGAATGACATTTGCTTTCGTTTGTTGTATTTTGACGATGGTTCTCTGGATGAGGGGAATAGGAGGAAAGAGATAAATGAGCCCTCTGTCCCAAGGGACTATTAGCACGTCTCCCAGGGATGCTAGACCTCGTCCGGCTCTGGAGCAGTACCTACTGCATTTTTTGTTCACCTGAGATGCAAACATGTCCACGTCCAGAGTGCCCCATTTCCTGCAGATGTCATTGAATATGTGCACATCTAGTTCCCATTTGTGGGTCTGAAACTTTGTGCGACTGAGCTCGTCCGCTGTTTGATTGTCAGTTGTGGACACATGTACAGCTCTTTCAAAGACATGTCAGGTGTAGCACCAGTCCCACAGTTGAATTGTTAGGTAAAGGAGGGACATGGAGCGAGTGCCTCCCTGTTTGTTTATGTAGTACATGGTCGTAGTGTTGTCCGTGACTACTTGGACACCATGACCACGTATCAGGGGTCCGAAAGCACGAAATGCTTTTATCACTGCCCACATCTCCAGGTGATTGATGTGACGATTTCCTTCTGTGGCAGACCACAGGGTGTGGACTTTGTGTGGACTGCAGTGGGTGCCCCATCCTGTGGGACTGGCATCTGTTGTTACTTGCACCATGACTTGCAGTGGGCGGAAGGGGCGTCCCACGAGGAGATGAGGGGTGGATTCCCACCAAGTTAATTGTTGGGAGAGTTCTGGTGTTACACGAAGACGCTTGTGTGGATCGTCCACCATTGGGTCGAAAAGGGCTAAATACCATGCTTGTAGCGACCTCATCTTTAGCAGTGCATGTTGTAGGGCTGATGTGATGGAGGCCATGAGGCCTAGAAGATGTTATGTGTGTCGGGCCATTACTTTCGCGTGGGGGTGAAAGTGGCTGATCGCTCGATGTATTTTGGTGATACATTGTGGGGGAAGGAAGATGCGCGCGGAGGCAGAGTCTAGTCGTGCTCCTATGTAATCCATTACCTGGGACAGGTGAAGATGAGACTTTGCCTCGTTCTGTTGGAGCTCTAGATCGTTTAGAACCTTTAGTACGAATGTGGTATTGTGGATGGCTTGTTGACAAGAAGTGGACACGATTAGCCAATTGAGAGTCCTGAGATCTAGTATGGGTCTTATCCTGCCGTCTTTTTTTGGGGACGGCGAAGTAGCGGGAGTAGAATCCGTTGTCTGCATCTCTTGAGGGAACTTTTTGTATAGCATTCTTTTGAAGAGGGAAAAGAATTTCTTGCTCCAGTATGGGATCGAAGTGAGTGGATTTGATATGAGGTAGAAGTTCTGCGAATTCTAGATGGTATCCTAATTGAATGATGCTTAGTACCCAGGTGTCATTTGTAATGAAGGACCAGTTGTCAAAAAAGGGGGCCAGTCGACTTTGATGAGAGACAGGAGCCTGAACAATGAAGACGGAGTCAAAGATAATGTTTTCCTTTCTTTGCAGGTGGATGATAGGACTGTCGTTTCTGATTGGCAGGCTGCGAACGGAAATGAGTAGATGAGGAAGAGGCTTGAAGAGGTCGGCTTTGTGTTTAAGGTTTGAACAAACGGTAAGTTTGTGAGGTGGATTGGAATTGTTGAGTAGAATAAGGCTTACACCATTGGTACTTCTGGAATTTAGGTTGCTGGTGGATGGTATAGCATTTTCATCTTATGGAAAGTTTCCATAGACTCGTTGGTGGTACCATTAAAGAGACCAGTGGCATCAAAGGGAAGTGCCTCGATGCAGTTTTTGGCATCCTTATTGATTCCTGATGATCTTAGCCACGTGTGTCTTCTGAGAGTAATAGAAGAAGTCATAGATTTAGAAGCTACGTCGGCAGAGTGGCGGGAGGCCAAACACTGATGTTTTGTGATATTGAGTGCCTCCTCACAAGTGTTGAGAAGTGAGGATCTGGAGTCCTCAGGTGCAGCTTGGAAGGCGGGGAGAACTCTCTCCCAGATTTGTCTTTGATAAGCCCCCATGGCTGCCTGGTAGTTAGCCATGCGCAGTAGAAAGGTTGCGAAAGAATACATCTTTCTGCCTAGAACGTCTAGTTTTCTGCCCTCCCTGTTAGTAGGGGTGACTTGGGATCTTCCAGGTGTTTTGGACTGATTAGACTGTACAATGATAGAGTTAGGTGTAGGATGTCTGACAAAGAAATGCTATGTCCTTTCCATTTGTCCTGTAGTGGTTCTTGACCCGACGGGTCACCTGTGTAAAAGTGGTAGGAGTAGCCGAAGATTCTTTAATAAGTTCCATAACAGCAGGGATGAAGGCGATGCTCAGGGGAGGGGTACACTCCCTTTCAATGTCTCCAAAAACTAGATCCTCCTTAGGGGATGGAAGCTTCTCTACATCCAATTTTAGGGCTTTAGCCATGTGAGAAACCATTTGGATGTATGAAGAGTAGTCCTCTGAGGGCGAGGAAGCATCAGAATCTACTGGTGGGCCAGGGAAAGGCTCATCTTCTGACTCCTCCAAAGGTGCGCTAAGAGAATCCATAGATTCAGCAGAAGAAGGTTCGTCCTGTAATGAGGATGGGGGTGATGGGGATTGCTGTTTCCTGGATTTATGAGGTCATCTATTGGCATCCTGATGTGTAGAATCTTGGGAGACTGGGGATTGAGCAGGTTTCCTTGATGTTGAGCCAGCTTTAGGTGTGGAGGGCTTAAGTGTCGTCGCAGCCTTGGAAGTGTGGTGTCGTAATTCAGGCTTCGACGTCGGTACGTCGGTATAGGAATCCCCCCCAATGTTGAGGTGGGGACTGAGAAGTGAAGGAGGAGGAAGCGTATACATATTTCACCCTCCTCTTAGAGTAATAGTCTTCGAGTCCCGAGAGGGAGTCAGATTCTGAAGACTCATATCAACGTCGACGGCGTGCATGCCGATTGAGCTCGACGATGATGGGGTCATCCCAGTGGGATTTAGTACGTCGTCGGGAGGAGGTTGGTAAGACAATCACTTCTCAACAGGAGTGACAGCGTTGAGTAGCAGAGAGGTGCTTCCTTTTGGCCGCTCTTTTCCAGGGCAGAGGACTCGGGGTCCAAGAGTGAGACCGCTGCATTGGGACGCTAGAAGCCTGCCCGGTCGAGACAGGGCTATGAGAGGCAGAAGCTCCGCTAGATACCGGAATTTCATGTAGCTGGTCAGGGCTAGGCGAGCGGCTAGGGAAGGGGCTCGTAACCTGCACCTGCCAGGGTGGAAGCAACCCCGCATCATCCAGGAGGATATCTTGATCCCCATGATACTCGTCTAAAATGGGAGATGGGGAGAGGAGGGCACAGGAGGGATCGTGCAGCGATGATCGTCATTCTTTTGCAGCGTGTCTTTTTTAGCCTTGACAGTTGGTCTGTCTGTCTTTTTTTTCAGGGCTTCAGGCGGCGCAGTCTTGGACGTGGTCAACGTCGATTTTGAAGTGCTGGTAGAAGTCGAGCCGGAAGATTTTTTCGACGCCGGCGTGGAGGACTTCTTGGTTTGTCGGCAGGCTAGGAAACAGGTAAAGCCGAAGGGGATCTGGCCATTCCGTTGGCCTGGGGTGTAGCAGAGGGGGCTTTAAGTCGCTGCTGCCGAGCTTTAAGGGTGGCATGAGTGAACTTTCTGCACTCTTTGCAAGCTTGCGAGAGGTGTCTTTCTCCTAGACAGAATAGGCATCACTTATGTCTTTCTGAGAATGGCAGCTTTTGGCTACACGAGGTGCACTTTCTAAAAGGACCTGAGGGGGACATGCATTGGGTAACTAGGAGGGAAGAAGGCAGGTAAACTCACAAGGATGGTGGTCAAAGGCCGTAGCCGGCAAAGAAACAACACTTCAAGCGGGTGGCTAAAAAATAGTGAGACAGTCCGTAGTCGGTAACTGGAGAAAGCACGGGAGACCGAAATAGAATCGTAATCTGAAAACGATGTTTAAAAACAGTCCAAGATCTGAGTAAGGGGCAACAGACAGACCCAAAAACATAGTATGTTTAGAGAAAACCGAGTCAAACCGTGAAGAAAAACTGAATTTGGAGGCTCTAATCTGAGAGGTTCCTATTGCCAAGGTGGTAAAAATGGAACTGAGAGCTGAGGCGGGCGGAGCATGCGCTATAGGGGCAACTCTCATTCAATGTTACGTTTTTAAGCTCTAGAATATTCCGAGGAGTCTGACGCAAACACAAACTAAACCCTGTTGTGTGCATTCAGAGGCCACGAAGAAGAAAATTTGATTTTTTTGAAATGTGATGCTGGAGGAGAGCTTTGTGGATACCCTGGATTGCCAGAATGACAAACAAGTGGGTCTGAGATCAAATCAAGCTTGAACTATCTGTGGAAGCAAAACCGTTGAAACTGAGATTGTCCTACTTTGGAGACATTGTGAGAAAAAAAAAGGATTATCTGAAAAAGACAATAATGATGGAAAAGTGGAAGGCAGCAGGCAAAGAAGAAGAGCAATATGAGATAGACTGACTCCCTAAAGCACTGTTGCCCAACCTGGGGGCTGCAACCCCCAAGGGGGTTACAAAGAGTTCTGGAGTGTCATGGGTCACCTTATATGTATGTAGCACTTGTTGAATGATTTCTTCCTTGACCTTTTGGAATGGGCTAAACAGGCCCGGAGGAAGAACAAAATCTCTATTTTCTGAGAAGGAATTATTTCACCCCATTAAAAATGCATTTTTATGCAAACATGGTAAGGTGGTGGGGTTACAGATTACTTATAATAATAATAATAAAAAGAGGGTCATGAGTCTAAAAAGGTTGGGAACCACTGCCGTAAAGAAAGCCAAAGGCTTGAGTTTGCAAGAGCTGAGCAGGGCTATTGAGGATAGGAGATTTTGGAGATCATTCATTCACAGGGTCACCACAAGTCAGAGGTAACTTGACATGTAAGAACAATTTTTCATTAAAGGCAAAAAGCCTAATGCCATTATTTTATGATTATTAAAATAAAGGTACTTGGGGCTGGCTCCAAAGTACACTTTATAGTAGAAAAAGCAGAATCCCTCAATACAGTCTTGTTTCTCGTTATCAAAAATCAGGTGATTAAACACATGAAATCTCTGGAAACCTACTTTTTCTCCTACAAAAATTTAAGCCAGAAAGTAAGAGTAGAATTTCATTTACTGTAGATGAATGAGGTGAATCTCTAACATTTCACAAGTGTATTAGCTCTGTAAGGAATTAGTACTTAGAAATAAACATCTAAAGTTCTGGACTGAAACTTACTTTCTTTATTAATTCTGCACAGGAGCATGTAGGTTTCTTTGCACAATCTGAAATAGAGGAAGAAAACGAACATCTCATTTTTCACCAAACAAGCAGCACTGAGGAGAAATATTGCACAGCATTTTGAGTTTTGTAAATTAACATACTGATTACAAATATTTGAGTGCATGTTAGGAACACACAGCATTATGAATTCTAACATGAAATCTATACAATTTTGGCAGGTACACAAACATTTGTTCCTCTGTTAAGTACTTACGATTTCCACGGTCACTACATGCTGTCAAGCCTTCAACTGCGAGCAAGTCTGCAACATCCACAATACCAGTTTCACAATTTTTCTGGATGGTTACTGAATGAACATTCTCATTAACTCCTTTAACAGTAATGATCACACACTCATTGAGTAAGAGACTTTTCAGATCATCTGCTGCTCTTTTGGTCTGCGTTCTATCCAGCTCCGTGATTCCTAAAATAGAGATATACCATAAATTCAAGTGTACATTATTGAGAGCACAATTTTGTACATGTTGCTTAAGATGTCCACTAAGATCAAGGGGCTTCTATGCAGATAAGCATGTTTAAAATTGCAGCATGAGGTGTTAATGCTCTTAACTCATCATTTCAATTTAAATTAAACACCATTAAAAATAATGGAAAATGCTGAATTGTATTTGAATGCTTTTGCACTCCACCTTAAAGTAAAATATTTAGCATTTCAATAACATATTGTGAATATTTTGGGGGTATGCTTGAGGTGAAGAAAAATGTTATTCCATGAGGAGAGTAAGCGCCTCAAGAGTCCTTGGTTTTATGAAAAGTTATGTGTTTTCTTGACTGACAAAAACAGAACTTTGCACAAAGAATGCAAAGAAGAAATTTCACCTTAAGTTGTCATGGTTATTAAGAAGCTGAAAAGGCATGTCCTTTGGGATATCACATACATTCATTTTACATTTATAACACACACACCAACTTTGCCCAACATTAAAGAATGTCAGAACAGCCAATATAATAAGAAAATATTTAGAAAATAACAGGAGCAGTTTATTAGCATACCAAGATTTAAGACCATATTAACGTGTGTGTAAGTGCAAATATTAAATCAAGTTCAGATCATACACTGAACTTGATAAAGCACATTCATTGGTATGCTACCTGCTAGGGAACACTTCAGTATCTGAAAGGGTAGTTCCAAGTAGGGTGAAATTATAGGTCGAAGTCTAGAAAATGGCAGCACTTCCACATTTCCATAGTCTGCATAAACAACTTTAACTTCTGACACAGAAATTCCCAGAACAACAGCACGATACCAGTTGTTATCTCCTAGAAAAGAGAATAAAATAAAAGATACATTTTAGTACGTTTACCATTATATACATAATGCACCAAACTGTATTTCTGAGTTTCTTTTAAGCCAGTAAGCAATTAACATTTTGATTACACCTTTCTGCTAAATTTTTGCACCTTGGGTGTAGAGACCATGATTCATTTTGCTTCCTTTAGATCAGGGATGGTGAAAAAGTGGGTTGCAATTTCATCATCACTCACTATTTACTATGCCAGCTATGACTGTAGGAGCTGATACAATTTAATACCACTTCATCTGCAAGTTCTGCAACTCTGCAGGTCAGCTTACTTTTGACAAACTTATGCAAAAGGCTTACCACGTCCAAAAGAATGAAGAAAAATGAAAAGCATGTTCCACAGTCCTAATCAAAAGGAGTCTCTTCCTTCAAAGAAAGCAACTGACCCAAATAAGCTCAGATGTATGCAGCAAGCAGACTGATTCTGTGGCCTAAGAAGGAAAACATTTGCCCCAGCTGACTGAAGCCAGGTTGTACAATAAAACAAAATGGCCATTCAGCTAAGGAAACAATTTACTCCTTTACTCTGTTACAGCCACTACAGTTCTCCAGTAAATGAAGGATATGTTTCCCCACCCTTTACTGTAATTTCACCAAACTGAACTACCTTCAACTGGGAAATATAATACTTTAGAAACAACAGTTTGAAAACAGCAAACTTCCATGCAAATTGTTATCTCTCCAACTTCTACAAGATGTCTTTTTTAAAAACAAGACATAACACTAAGTTTTCCAAGTTCATTTTCTTACCTGAAAACCTGGCACAACAGGCTTGACCAATTTTCAGTTTGAAGATATGTTCATTCAGAGAGTTGCAGTAATCTGCAAGTCCAATCATTAATTTACGGAGCTTATGTTCATCTATGAAAATTGAGAGAATTATGATTTTAAAACAACTGAAGGTTTAAAAACATTTTTTTCAGTACTGCCCCATTCTATAAACAACCATCTTAATACTGAATGGTGACTAGAAAATAACCACCACTTTTTCTATTAAGCAAGGATCTTGCAATGATGACAATGCCAGCATGACAATTTCATTACCTTTTGAAGGACAGACATGCCTATTTCATTGTTGGGCACAGTTTCTAAAACATTTAGTTGAGCTTTTAATGTTTTTAATCATTCAGTATATTTTAATTATTGTTATAAGTTAATTGTTTTTAATATATAATTTATTGTGTTTTAAAGTATACTTTTTTAACACAGAAAAGTCTGAGGAAGTGGACATGTCCACAAAAGGTCACATTAAAATATAGCAATTAGTCTTTAAGATGCCATCAGGTGCCACAATGTTTTTGTCTTCTTTATTTTGTATTTTTCTTTGGGTTTTGCATGATATATTTTTCAACACTGTGAGCCACCTTGAGTCGCCTTATTGGGAGAAAGGCAGTCTGTTAATAAAATAAACAAACAGACAGACAATCCTGGTATCCCATCTAACTGGTGCAATGTGAATAGTATCAATTTCAAATTAGTCACTTGAACCTTACAGCATAGCAAGTTACACGTTTTTTAAAAAGCCGAGATGGCGAAAGTAAAGGAAAAGACCAAGACCTCTGACCTCACAGCTATTGTGTTGCACATTGAATATGAAGCTGTTCAGAAAGTTGCTAAAAAGAAAATTTACAACTCTTTTAAACAGCTACTGGAATCCCACAGCAGTCCCACAGGTAGACAAATAGGTTGCTAAATAGCAGAAGCTTCAGATTTCCTTCTCACTGATACTGAATGATGGGAAGTGTTCAGATCCAAGGCTTGTCCTTGCTCATTTGTCCAGTGGAAATCTCATTAGACAGAAAGAATATATTAATCAGCATTGTATACTTTGAATCCTACCTTTGAGTTGTATTGGTACAACATAGAATAAGCCAGGGTTTACTACCTCTAATACACGGACTGACACTGTTTCATCAACTGCAAATTCTGCTGCTGTCCATTGCATGCCTGGAGACACTTCTGTAATGTTAAATAAAAACAAACTTTTCAAAACTCCTATACATAGTAGTCCTCATGTCAAAATAGTCTGTCTTTAGTTTTCTGATGCAGTTTGCATCACTCTGAAATGGAACCTGTTCCTATCCCAGCATGTACATGTTTTTCCAATGCCCACCTCCCCTGCATGCCTGCAGAAGCACAAAAAGAAAACCAAGTCCCATGGGAATCTTCCAGAAAAAGGCACTAAATCCACTCTATCTTGGCTTCAGCAATAAAGTCAGTGCCAAGTTTTCTAGACCATGCACCCTTCCTTTTTTAATTAGTTATCCAGTTAAACGTATTTTTAGAAAATTTTTAGAAAGAAACAAAATTAAAACACATTTAAATGCCTAATTTGGGATACAGTTTTGACTTAAAGTAGATGTAATGTTTAGTCACGTCAACTGATAAATGTCACCTTTCCAACCTTCCTACTAGATGTAATGTTTAGTCACGTCAACTGATGTCACCTTTCCAACCTTCCTATACTGGTAGATGGCCTACAAATGTGTAGCAGCTCTTCTGCCCACTTCTCACTGAAACTTAATCACTAGTACTGAGAAGTATTAGGGTGGAACTAGTGCTCCAGCTGCATCTTTTCCTGGAGATGTATGATCTGGCCATGTGATACATGCCTTAGTTATATCCATTGGTCTACTGTAATGTGCCCTAAGTGTGGTTGCCTTTGGAAAGTGTTTAGAAACATCAGTGGGTGCACTGTGGGTCCTGGAGCCAATTAACTGAGGCTAATTTTAAGGATCACATAGCCTTCATTACAGCAGCTCCACTGGCTGCTAATCTGTTTCCAGCCACAATTCAAAGTGCTGTTTTTAAACCTACATATAAAGCCCCCAAAGGGCTTGGGTCCAAACTATCTCAAACACTGCCTCTCCCTTTTTGAGCCTACCAACCTCACAAGTGCTTTTGGTGGGGATGTGGGAGAAGGCCCTCTCCGCTGCTGCTTTGAAACTCAGGAATTTCTTCCAATGAGAGGCCAGGCTGGTCCTGGGTTTGCTGTCCTTCCACAGAAAAAGACCTTTCTCTTCAGGCAGGCTTTCTCTTAGTGACTGGCTGTCTAAGAGCCAATTTTTAAAAGGGGATGCTATGAGATTGAAGAAACAGAACTGATAGATTTGAGAGAAGGGCTGGGAAAGATGAATGTGAAGAGCATCAAAATAAAAGCCCGAGAAGAAACTGCTGCACTAATAGGGGGAGCTGTTTTGGCAGGAAAAGAGATTTAAAACATGATCTGAGGGAAGAAGGGAGGCAGGTGGAAAGTGAAGTAGAGAAAGGATGTTGTCCGTGGAGTTGAGAAAGAGATTTAAAGACAAAGAAGGCTGGGTGGAGATAATTCAAGATCCTTGGACAGGGGAATGGGTCATTTTAAAGGTGCCTAGGGAAGAAGTGGAGTGAGAATTGATCAGAAAATTGGACAGAAAGCCACCTTACTGGGGCCAAACTGCTGACAGAGAAAAACGTAAAGAGAGAGAGAAAATAAAATGGAAGCCTGAAGCAAAGAGAACCAGCCATATATAGAAGCGTCTGGGAAGCCTGTGGAATGAGCCCCTTCAAATCTTGTCCCCGACTGGGCCCAGGCATGAAAGTTCAATGGGGTTACCACCATCATCCCTTCTAAATATAGAGGTGAAGGCAAAGAGAACCAGCCATATATAGAAGCGTCTGGGAAGCCTGTGGAATGAGCCCCTTCAAATCTTGTCCCCGACTGGGCCCAGGCATGAAAGTTCAATGGGGTTACCACCATCATCCCTTCTAAATATAGAGGTGAAGGAATACAAGGATATCTGCAAGTGGAATCTGAAGACCTTAGGTATAGACCTCAACAGATGGGAAACTTTGACATCTAAATGTTCAGCCTGGAGGCAGATGGTGCAGCATGTTGTTGTTGTTTAGTCATATTGTCCAACTCTTCATGACCCCATTAACCAGAGCAGGCCAAGCCCTCCTGTTTCCACTGCCTCCCGGAGTTGGGTCAAATTCATCTTGGTAGCTTCAGTGACATCTTGTCCTCTGTTGTCCCCTTCTAGTCTTGCCTTCACACTTTCTCAACATCAAAGTCTTTTCCAAGGAGTCTTCTGTTCTCATGAGATGGCCAAAGTATTGAAGCTTTAGCTTCAGGATCTATCCTTCCAGTGAGCACTCAGGGTTGATTTCCTTCATAATGGATAGGTTTGTTCTCTTTTCAGTCCAGGGCACTCTCAAGAGTCTCCTCCAGCACCACAATTCAAAAGCATTAATTCTTCGGCAGGCAGCCTTCTTTATGGTCCAGCTCTCACTTCCATACATCGCTACTGGAAAAACCATAGCTTTGACTATGCAAACCTTTGTCACAAAGGTGATGTATCTGCTTTTTAACATGCTGGCAAGGTTTGTCATTGCTTTCCTTCCAAGAAGCAGGCATCTTTTAATTTCGTAGTTGCTGTCATCATCTGTAGTGATCATGGTGCCCAAGAATGTAACATCTGTCACTGCCTCCATACATTTGCCAGGAGGTGATGGGGCCAGTGGTCATGATCTTTGTTTTTTGATGTTGAGCTTCAGACTATTTTTGGCGCTCTCCTCTGTCATCCTCATTAAGAGGTTCTTTAATTTCTCCTCACTTTCTGCATTCAAAGTGGTATCATCTGCATATAGGAGGCTGTTGATATTTCTTGTAGCAATCTTACTTCTGGTTTGGGATTCATCCAGTCCTCCCTTTTGCATTATGTATTCTGCATAAAAGTTAAATAAGCAGGGAGACAATATGAGTTGTTCCATATACAGTTCTAACTGTTGCTTCCTGTCCCACATATAGATTTCTCAGGAGACAGGAAACAATAGTTAGAACTGTATATGGAAGGTGGTCAGGCATTACCATTTCTTTAAGAACTTGCCATAGTTTGTTGTGGTCCACACAGTCAAAGGCTTTTGCATAGTCAATGAAGCAGAAGTAGATCTTTTTCTGAAACTCTCTGGATTTCTCTGTAATCAAGCACATGTTAGCAATTTAGTTTCTAGTTCCTCTGCCCCTTCGAAATCCCGCTTGTACTTCTGGGAGTTCTTGGTCCACATACTGCTGAAGCCTACCTTGTAGGATTTTGAGCATAAC